TGCGATCATACACTTCAGCGACAAAAATAAAACTATTGTTCGTAAATTTCATATATTTTTTTTTAGTTGATCTTTATGCGAATCTATATCTATATTTGAAAAAAAAACTTGTCGATGAATGGATTGTTATTTTTAAATAAATTCGCAAATTCGAGTAGTTTGTTCCCTAATTTTTATCAGTTAATGTATATTTTCTCGGTTAAGAAATAAAAATAGATATATTATCGCAATGTTATCGAAAAAAATCGTTCATGCGGATCTTAAATATAATTTTACGTATGAAAAGTTGAGAATCATAATGAATCAAGTCATTTTTCAAAATTTATATTTAAAAATTGATATTTAAGAAAAAAAATAACTTAATACCAAATTAAAAATAATACAAAAATATAACATAGTTTTGTATCGATTGAACCTATACCACTATGTTTCTCTACCATGTTTCTCTACCATGTTTCTTCCATGCATAAGAATTTACATAAACAAAAACGTAGAGACAAGTTTAACATATTCGAGAATTTAGTTGATCAGATGCTTGGAATGAATAGAAATTAACGTGGATATAATTACTAAGGGATTACAAATCCAGGCGAAATAGGTAGTTTCAAGTTTAAAGACGGTGATACCGTATCTTGGACTCGTTTTACAGGCGGATTTGTTACTTGATACGGATTTGAGATGGATTACTCTGGAAAGACTTTGATCGACGGTTTTGCAAGTCGAATAATACGTTGCCCGGGAACTTTTCAATGGAAATAAAAGCTTGACAGCTGTCTCGCGTTGACGTTTCATACATGTTGGTGTAGTTAGCATTTGGTAGTTAGCATTCCAGCTTCGTGCTCCGTTGGGAACGAAACACGTTTCGCGTGTTCTTATAGTTTTACTACTTTTTAGCGTTAATCTTATGCTTTTGTTCTCGGTGTTAATTATAGTATTGGAGAGACTTAAGAAAAAATTACGTGCGACTGGTTCATGAGTATTGTAATACCGTTGAGTAAGAATCGTGTTCCATTGGATGAATGCAGTCTCCCATATCGGTATAAAAGAGTAATGATAGCGTTTGGCAATTCTGGTCAGATATTGCATAATTCCTCTGCAAATAAGAATACATTGAGGATAAGACTTGACTTCATTGAGGATAAGAGCGCGCGAAATTTAATAAAATTTAAAAATTCCAAATTCCAATTCAGAGTTGAATATCAATACGATTCGATTGCACGATTGAAATTGAAACGTTGAATGCCTTTTTTTAATAAGCTTAAAGAAGAAAGCGCGCGAAATTTAAAAAATTCAAATTTAAAAATTTATAAATTGTAATATGATTAAATGGATATCGATACGATATTAATTATATAATTAATATCGAAACATTTAACTTGTTTAGATGTCTTTCTAACGTCAAGTCACTTCTATTCTATAAAAATTAAAGCGCGCGAAATTTAAAAAATTCAAATTTAAAAATTCAGAATTGCAATTTATAGTTACAGATTATCCAAATCCCACGCCATCTGTGTTCTATAAACTTAAAGCGCGCGAAATTTAAAAAATTCAAATTTAAAAAGTTGCAGATTAATATTGTATTAATATTGAAATGTTGAATTTATATATCTTTCTAATATTAAATTTCGCGCCATTCTATAAGTTTATAGCGCGCGAAATTCAAATTTAAAAATTCGGAATTGGAATTTACAGATTAATATTGAATTAATATTGGAAAAAATTCAGATTTGCAATTTATAGTTATAAATTATCGACAAATAATTAATATTAAAATGATGAATTTGTTTAGGTGTCCTTCTAAGTTCCCCATGCCAACTATATATAAATATAAAGCGCGCGAAATTTATAAAATTCAAATTTAAAAAGTTGCAGATTAATATTGTATTAATATTGAAATGTTGAATTTATTTAGATATCTTTCTAATGTTTCACGTCACTTCTATAAGTTTCATATTCTATAAGTTTAAAGCGCGCGAAATTCAAATTTAAAAATTCAGAATTGAAATTTACAGATTAATATTAAAAAAAATTGAGAATTGAGAATTTATAGTTACAGATTATCGACAAGTAATTAATATTGAAATGATGAATTTATTTAGGTGCCCTTCTAAGTCCCATGCCATCTGTATTCTATTAACTTAAAGCGCGCGAAATTTAAAATATTCAAATTTAAAAAGTTACAGATTAATATTGTATTAATATTGAAATGTTGAATTTATTTAGATATCTTTCTAATGTTTCGCGTCATCTGTATTCTATAAGCTTAAAGCGCGCGAAATTCAAATTTAAAAATTCAGAATTGGAATTTACAGATTAATATTGAATTAATATTGAAACGATGAATTTGTTTAGGTGCCCTTCTAAGTCCAAGTCCCACGCCACCTGTATTTTCAAGATGGAGTACCAGTCTGCTGAACAGCGCCGGAAGTTCGCCAGCGAGTTCAGCGAGGTCGTCGTTCAACCATCGACAGCCATATTTGGGCTGGCGTTCTCAGGAACGACTAACGAACCCGCGAACACCGGCAGAACGTCTTGCTCAGGGTATTCTTCCCCAGCTGCAAGCAGCCAACAAGGTTTGTATTCATATTTGCCAGCATTTGGATTTTTCTTCAATTATCGCCCAATTGTCACTTCAACTTATTTCAAAAGTTGTCATTGTACTGTGGAAACAATTCAACGTTATTTATTAATTAGATTTCCTCGTTCGAAAATTCGACCTTGGAGATTTTTAATCGATCTTCACCTTCTCTTTATCCTCGCTTTCCTCTTTATTCCAATTTATTTTTAATTTGCTCAGACATCACGCAAATGCAACGACTTCTCTATAATTAGAAATTCTGGCAGAAATTCTACTTCTGGTATCTCTTGGCTTTTATAACCTGAGACAAATTGACCGTTATCCGAATCTATATAGTTGAATCCCACTATCCAAGTATTGTCCTAGTTTGAAAGAAATTTTAATCAGTTTCTCGTTACTGAAAAATAGTTCCACCTTAAAAGTATCTTTCCTCATAGCCGTTAATTGGAATTTTGCTAACGATGTACACGTTTTGTATTTTTATTAAAACTTTGTAACGAGGGCTTTAGTATCTCATGTTATTTTTATTCATTGAACATTCAATTTCAAGAATTAAAAAAAAAAAAA